CCCCAAAACCCCAAAACCCCAAAACCCCAAAACCCCTTTATCACGTAGAAAGATGCATTAAGAAATTAAATATTATATCAATTTTACTGAGAAGTTATAAGTGTATGACTATATTATCTAGAAAGCATATTCATTTTACCTGGTGGGCTCTTACATGCCTTTAAATTGAGATTAAACCCTCCCACTGATTATGCATTATTTAGTCTTGGAGGTCTTTACTGTCTCTATTGTTTGTCTTGACTTTGCTTGAAGGTCTTAGCAATATAATTTTAAGTTTATGGAATATTAATTTGGCTGTTTCTTCTTATTCTCTGAGTCTAATTGCCATTAATCAATGGTCTTTTATTAGGTGATTGTGATTTTTATACTTCAAAAGTTTTGTGTGAGTTCAATACTATATCTTTTAATTTGTTAACCTGTCTTAGGTATTTAAATTACTCATAGTATATATCAGACTCTCTAAGTTTATTCATAGATTTAAAAATTTCCTTTAATCTAGTCTTGAAGTATACGTAGTCTAAAGTTCTAGCCAAGACCTTAGAAGCTTTACTGATTTATTAATGATTATCTTTCCATTTTGAGTAAAATCTTCTTATAATACTTACTCTTTATTAGTAAATAGCTAGCTAGTTCAATATGAAATCATAATTAACTGGCCTTTTAGACTAGGTAATTAATCTCCTGAAATTCATTATTTTTTATTGATAGTTTTCAATTGTCTTCATTTATGTATTTTTCTTTAAAACTTGCTTTTTATTTACAGATTTAGATTTTAAACTACTGAAACAATCAATTAGTTTGAAAATCCTATTTTTCTTGTGTGACTACATCCATAGCTTCATGAATTTTTTCAATTAAATTTAAGATTATCCTTACTAAATTTTTAGGCTTAATTACAGTTATTTCTATAAGTTATTTTAATAAGCTAAATAGTTACTTATTTTTTATGGCAATTTGAAATTAAGCTTGCAAATATCCTCTACTTTATCTTATTTGATCTTTATAGGCCTAATTGCTTAATACTAATCTGAAGTCTAAATTAATTAATTACTATAAATTACCTTTAATCATAGATTTGGAGCTAGTTGAATTTTGATCGAAGTATTTTGAGAGTTAGATCATGCTCAATCTAAATAAGTTTCAACTTCCTGTATTTTGAAATTACTGCATTGAACTTGAACCATCCAAGCACCTTCTTTTTAAATTTGCTGTCTCTTTTATGTTTAAGGATGTTATTGATTATCACTTAGTCGTTGTTTTAGTTTGCTTTGTTTTCTAATCTAAGAAAATCTTCGAGGAGATCGTTGAATACTCCAATTTGCTATTTGTCTTGCGGCTCTAGAATATTTGCCATAGATCTTTTATGTTTAAAAGACTGCTTTTAATGCTTTTTCTTCTCAGTTTTCTTTCTACATTCATTCAGCAAATTTATGGTGCTGCAGCTTATGGTCTCTAATGGTGCAACAGATCTATTAGATTGGTCAAATTTTGAGACAATCTTCTTTTTTGCTGAGCTAAAATTTAGGTTGATAGTAGCAATAGGAGTGGCATCCCCATATCCAGATTCTTGCTATTAATCAAAGAGGTATTTACTAACATGACTTTTCTTTTGGGCTGAGAGAATTATTTCTTTGTGATGAATTGTGCTGAGTTTGAGTTCAGTCATTTTAGGGGTATTCTCATTAATAGAGCTAATATCATCAAATTGGAGATTATGACTGAGTAATGTTGAATCTTAGTACAGCTTATTGATGCTTGTATTATCAATCCTAGATTTCTTCATTGATCTATTTTGGATTTATTGGAATGTATGCTTATTGTATTTATTCTGCATTATTCTTTAATTGCTTTTCTGCAAAATGTCGCAGCTTTTGTTAAAATCTCTTTTACTTATCATTGAAGCACATTTCTTCAAATGAGCATGCTGTATTTCACTTTCTTCAGGCGTCAGTATTTTTTAAGTGACGTAGGTAGCCAGAAAGTTCTTAACTTCTTAAAGTGTTTTCACTATATCTTGATTTTTGTGTTCCATTGTTCAAATTTAATGGTTGTACTCAATTATCTCAATGATATATTTGCGATAAACCGAATTTTCCTTGAATTCATTTATGAAAAATTTCATCTTAACTGGCTGGCTTTCCTAATCTAATTATATGTTGTAATTTTACTTTGTCCTTTAGAATTCCGCACTCAAATAGAGTTCGCAAGTCGATTAAATATTGATCATAACAATCACTTGTAGTTGACATTTAAATTTTTAAATTAACTGATATTTAGAGTGCTTTGATTATTTAAAACATTGCCTTGTGGGGTTTTGGGGTTTTGGGG